CTATGAAAACAGAGCATCAGTCATTCCTACTCCCCAAATACGCGCGTTATTTCTGAAAACGCCCGTCACCGTTCACTGAGGTGCTTGTCGCTCGTACGGACCTGGTCTCTGATCCGCTGCTTGATGATGTCTTCCAGCTGGAGCGTGGTCTCCTCGGTGATCACCGGCGCTGGAGGCAACAGGACACGTGCGATTAGGCAGCTGTACACCAGGCCAGGGGTCTCACAGGGTGGGCCCGGCCGCAGCGTCCACACCCGGGAACTGGCTGGACGGGCATTCCCGGGCCCCACCCCCCAGCCCCCGGGTCGGCGGGCCGTACCCATGCGGACAGCGTGGTCGAAGTGCAGGGTCTCCTCCAGCAGGCTGTTCTCCGGGCGCTTCTGAGCCGTCACCTCCCCCTGAAGCTGCCACGGCTTCTTCTCCAGCAGCTCTTTTTCTAAAGACGCGATTTTTTCATTCATCTGAGAGGGAGAGGCGAAGCGTTATTACGTACTTAGGGAACACAACTGGACGTATAATTGAGTAAAAGCAACTAATAATTTTAAAAGTGGGAAAGAAATGCATTGCTCCAGACAGTAGTGACGGTCTATTCCTGTCGCCTGTGGTGGTGGGGCGGGGAGCTGCAATATACTAACCCCCCCGATGTTCCTCGCTGAACTGAAACGCCAAGTCTGTGGGACACTAAATCCCCCCCGAGGCAGCTGGGTATATTTCTGGGCTCTAGTATTCACATCCTCTATCTCATTCACAAGCCACCGACAACGTTCGTTATTAGAGCGTTCCAAGATGAAGTCACGTTTCCATGGCAACATCAGTGTCTGATGGAGCCTGACCCTGACGCTACACCCCAATCCACGTTACCGCTGACTTCTAAAAGACAGCAAAGTGATGGGGCCAAACAACTGGAGCCTGGCTATATTCCTTTCAAATGGCACTTCATCTTCTGAAGTCAGGTGACCTGGGCATCAAATTTATCAACTTCTGGAAGATGTGCTTGAGATGGTGCTAAATACAGTTGTCTCCATGGCACTCACAGAGCCGCCTGCTCAGCACCTCAGAGCGGGAGGCCGTATGCATAAGAGCAGCTACGGTGAGCAGGAGAGGTTCCCAGGCCAGCTAATTAGGAGAGAGGCCACGGGTACAAACACAGCAGGGAGAGAAAAGCAGCAGGTTTGACAGCGGCGCCACAAGCTGAGAGCCACGGCCCCATGTTTACAAGTTAGCTGCTTCCCGCTGGGCGTCTCTATGTAGTGTGAGCTGTACAGAGTAGCCAGGTGTGTTTTTTTAAAGGATAAGTCAGCATTCTACCAAGAAACACAGATTAGTTAGCAGTCTGCAAGTTCCAGTCACGAAAGCATATAGCAAATCCCTTCAATTCCTACTTATTACCTTTTCCTGTCTTTTTTCAAAGGAGGACTTAACTTCAGCAGGCTCTTCCTGTGCATTTAAGACGCTTGTCTCTTCAGGTTCCTCATCATCTCCAGATCCCTCGTCATCTGGCAGGGCGAAGGTCACCCTCTTCGTTTCTTTACGTTGTTTACCGTCTTCAGTCTCTTCAAGGTCATTGTCTTCATCCCTATGATACCAAAACACGTATCAAAGGAAGAACACCCCATTTCATTAGGGAAGCAAAGAGAAACACGTTTTCTCATAATGCAAGTTTTCTTCTGTATTATGCCTAATGCAACTAAATCTCCAGAGCTTCTAAAGGCATTCAGTTATTAAGGAATGACAGAAGGAATTATTTAGGTGAAATAGAACAAAAAGTGTCCAACATAAAGAAAATAAATTACTGCTCTAGCTAGCGGTTAGCGCGTCGGCTCCTGCACCCAAGGGTTCCAGGTTCCGTCACTGGTCCAGATCGGGGTGCATTGGGAGGCACCCAATCGATGGTTCTCTCTCTCCCCATCCTTCCCTCCCTCCCTTACATTCTCTCTGAAAAACTCAATGAAAAAAATAACCTCAGGTGAGGATTAACCAAAAAAAAGGGGAAAAATTACTCATCGATCTATAACACAAAGTCATCTCACACAAATAACAACAGTTTATCTTTCTTGGCACAAAACCAAATCAAAGCTCCTTGCGCTAGAGGTCTTGACTGACGCTTACTGGGTGAACTCTCACGCCCTTCCACGTGGACTTTCTCTGGCTCCCTGGAGACGACGTGACCTCGGAGAACCTGACTCCTCAGGCCCATGACGCTGCGAGCGTGCGCACGACTGGCCAGGCCCCGCCTGCACGGAAAGGGGCACTGAACACACTCACGTGTCCGAGAGGCTCTCCTCTCCTCCCCGTTCAGCAGTCTCTCCCTCTTCTTCACCGGAGCCCAGCTCCTCGTCGGGCGCACCCGCCATGTCTTCGTCACTTTCAACCGGATCAAAGAAATCCTTGTACTTCAGGTTTCTGGAACTTTTACCCGCCTGAAACAAAGACACTTCGCATGAAGGGCAGGAACGTGCGTTGAGCCGTGCTTATGTGTGTACATTAACACTGCACAGGGGAAACTGGCCTAAGAACTACGAGACCACAGCCAACTGAAAGTAGGAATCCTTTACACAATATTCCCATCTCTACATCCTCTAGCTACAAGGATTTCCAAAAGACCCCTGCCCGATCAAGTACACAAGTGCCTCCCTGTCACTAGTATTTGCAGTGCCTGGTGAAAACACATGTTTGAGGGACAGTGCTGAAGGTCTGACAGGTGTGATTATGGCTATTCAGCTACAGTGGCCTCTGAGAAGGCAATGGTGGGTCCCGTTTAATTTTTCCCCGTCAATTTCTCTGAGCCAACGATCTAAGTATTTCACTTAGGCCCTGGGGAGTGTTGAGGTATTTCCACCTCTTCCGGAAGAAACAGAACAGAATGCCATTTGAGGAGGCAGAAGGTCCTCTTTCTCTCCTCTCCCAACACGTCACCTTGGGTTTCTGACGTCCAAACAGTCCTCCCTCATCTCCGTCGGAGTCAAGATCTTCAAACAAATCAATCTCTTCGTCCTCGTCCTCGTCCTCGTCGTCATCCCCTTTCCGTTCCTCTTCTTTTTCCATGGTTTCTAAAAAGCTCTCCATCTCAGAGAGCTTGAAGAATCTGTCGTCCACGACGGACTTCCCCCTGGGCTTCTTGGGCACGTGGCTTTGCACCCTGCTCTGCCGTTCCAGCTTGTCGATATCAAAGTCAAGGTCAGAATCCTCATCGCTGAAGACGGGGCTTCTCCTCAGATCGCGCTGGCCGGGATGTCTGGTTGTCTCCTCCCCTTTGGGATCATCACCGCTCAGGCCTGACCCTTCCTCCTCCTCCTCCTCCTCCTCCTCCACATCTCCTTCTAGGCCCTCCTGGCCCTCAGCCTCCGTCTCCGAGCCATCCTCCCCACCCTCCTGCTCCTCCTCCTCCGGGAGAAGGCTGAGGTCCCCGTCCTGGACGGTGTCACGGACGGCGCTCTCGAAGTACCGCAGCGCCGGCTCATTCTGCAGCTCCAGCTGCTGCCAAATCTGCTCGTCGTCAAAACGGTCGATCACCAGTTTCTGTAAAGGGCTCCCGGGGATCCTGCCGCGCTCCAGCACTTTACTAAAGTCATAAAGCACTTTGGTCAAGGAAGTGAAGCTTGATGCCAGTTCATCCTGAATCCTAGCAAGGGAGCAGGGGAGGAAGTTAAAGGAGACTTTTTAAAAAATTTATCTTTATTGTTTAAAGTATTACAGATGTCACCTTCCCTCCCCCCCCAAGTGACCCGCTCCACCTCGCATGTGCCCCCCCCACCGCCTTCCCCGTACTATTGTCTGTGTCCATGGGATACGTATGTATGTGTGTGTATATATATATATATATATATATATATATATAGTCTTTGGTCAATCCCTTCCCACCCCCCACAGCCCCTGCCTTCGCTCTGGGATTCGTCAGTCTGGCAGTAACCTCGCGGTACTCTTAAATTAAAGGGGGAAATAAGGCCCCAGTCTCGTGCAAAATCAAATGTGAATGAAACGTCCATTTTTAGTATAGATTCTGGTCCGCAAGAATCTGGACCATCTTGCTGATGAGCCACCTTAATACACAAAAGTGTGCACTTAGTATCTGTGAATCTGCACACGACTGAAATTCTGACAGGCTAAGGGGGCGGAAACGATCTGAAATTTGGGGAAAGGAGCTCTACGCCTCCCGTTAGCTTCGCTCTATCCCAGACACTGACAGGGGCCTGCAGCCCGCGCCCGCCGGAGGCCGGGGCCCGATCCCGAGCCCGGGCTCCGCGCACTTACGTGAGGAAGCCCTCCGGCCGGCCTGTGTTCTCACCAACCTCGTCCAGACACCGCTTCAGGGTCCGCTGACGCCAGACCCGCAGGGCCATGGCTGTTTAAAACTCAGCTCGCCGCGCCGCATGCCCCGGAAGTACGGCGCCCGGAAACGCGTCACAGAGATGCGCCCCGCGCAACCTGGAGCGCAGAGGAAAAGGTTCCGCCGCACGCAGGTTCCGGACCCACCCCCAGCCCGAGCCAATGGCCGCGGGAGAACCGTCGCTGCGCTTGCGCAGCGGACGGCGCAGGGAACGGAAACGAGCCATTGGTCGGCTCCAGCGCCTTTGAACTCCTCCGGAAAATCTGTTTGGCATTCCTGAAGGTCCCACAGTGCGTGACGCCTTCTCCTTTTAAGTGTCCGCCTTAGATGCACCAGGTGGCTTCGCCGCACGTTGTATTGTAAAGAAGAGCGGGTCCAAACCCAGCACCCGACAGGAATTCTGCAACACTCGCCACGCCCCCTAGCGCCGTAGGCACGCCCCCGGCACCTTGCCCCGCCCCTCCTCTGACACGTTGCCCCGCCCCCCCTGACACGTTGCCCCGCCCCCTGAAGCGCCCAGCCCCTCCCCGGGCACCTTGCCCCGCCCCTCCTCTGACCACGTTGCCCCGCCCCCTGAAGCGCCGAGCTCCTCCTCTGGCACCTTGCCCCGCCCCTTTAAGCGCCCCGCCCCTCCTCTGGCACGTTGCCCCGCCCCCCGGCCGAGCCGTTGACGCCCCCTCCGACGCACGTCGCGTCTTAGCCCGTCGCTTCCAAGATGGCGCAGGTGCTGAGGGCGGCTGTGGCGGCGGCGTGCGCAGGAGGTGACTCCCCCGCGCCGTCGGGGTTCGCCGTGGGGCGGGGCTCAGGGGGCGGGAGGCCCCGAACCCAGGCGAGGCGGCTAGGGGGCGGGGTGCGCGGCCGCCGTCCGCACCGTGAGGCCGAAGGGGGCTTCCAGAACCGCCTCAGGTTAGCGGCGCGGGCGGGGGCCTCCTCCTGTGGGCGCCTCACAGCTCCCCCTGGAGGGCGTGCCGGTGACGGCGCCCCTTTTCCACGACGCCCCGGAGGGACGCGGGAGCCCGTCCTTGGGGACAGACAGCAGGGCCGGGACCGAAGTGAACGGCGGAGGGGCCGTGAGCTTATGTGAGGGCGCGCCCTAGAGAAGAGACGCCGAAAGGAAGGCAAGTCCTGTGCGAACGCACACGCACACGCACACGCACACTCACAATCACACTCACACGCGGGAGCCGAGCCCTGCCGGCCGCGCAGTGGTTAGCGCAGGGCGCGCATGCGCGAGGGAGGCAGCCCACCCATGAGTCTCTCTCCCACCTCCGTCCCTCCCACTCTCAAAAAAAAGTTTTTAAAAAATATATACATGTCCTCAGGTGAGGATTAACCCCATCAAAACCAGACAAAGCGCCGAAACCGGTGTGGCTCAGTGGATAGAGCGTCGGCCTGCGGACTGAAGGGTCCCGGGTTCGATTCCGGTCAGGGGCATGTACCTGGGTCGCGGGCACATCCCCAGTGGGAGGGTGTGCAGGAGGCGGCTGATCGATGTTTCTAACTCTCTCTCTCCCTTCCTCTCTGTAAAGAATCAATAAAATATATTTAAAAACAAGCAGACAAAGCCGTGGGCTGTCCTCCCACACCGCACTGCCGAAGGCCCGCTGTGGACAGGCTGGCGTCGCCCCCCTCCTCCCCGATAATTGCCTCCTGTGCACCCGCAGGAAGGAGGGGCGCTGGTGCAGGGTTCGCAGGCCCCCTGAGTTTTCTGCATCCATCAGAAATAAATAAAATAAATAAAAAAGGGCTCAGTGGTGAGCGCCGACCTTTGACCCCGGAGGTCAGGGCGCAGGCCCTGGTCGAGGGCTCCATCCCCAGGATGGGGCGCACAGGAGGCAGCCGGCCCATGGTTCCCTCTCTCTCTGAAATCAGTAAGAAAAACATATTTTTTAAAAAGCCGCCTGGATTCCGTGGTGACAGAATCGCAGGTGTCCTGGCTCCCCGTCCCCACCTCCCCCCGGGCCCCCCTTTTCTTCTGTGGGGGGGGGCCCCCTCTCGGAGGGCGGCTCTCCCTCCACCGGGAATTCCCCGTTGAGGTCACGGCTCCCAGGGAGTCACCCCTGAGCGGCCTTCAGCTCGGCACCTTCCCGGGGTGCGGCTGGGGTGAACCCCTAATAATGCCCGGCTTCTCACCTAGGAAGGGCTCCCTCTCTTTCCGCCCACGGGCCTCACAGTTCTGCCCGCCCTCCGAAGTCGCTTCTCAAGCTGAACCGGTTCTTTAATATACTCGTGTTTTTTTAAATATATTTTTATTGATTTCAGAGAGGAAAGGAGAGGGGGAGAGAGATAGAAGCATCTGTGATGAGAGAGCATCATGGATCGGCCGCCTCCTGCACGCCCCCCACTGGGGACCGAGCCCGCAACCCGGGCCTGTGCCCTGGCCGGGAATCGAACCCAGGACCCTTCAGATCGCGGGTTGACACTCCATCCCCTGAACCAAACCGGCCAGGGCAATATACTGGTATTTTTATTGATTTCAGAGAGGGACAGAGAGAAACATCCGTGATGAGAGAGCATCATGGATCGGCCGCCTCCTGCACGCCCCCCACTGGGGTTCGAACCCGGAACCCTTCAGTCCACAGGCGGTCACTCCATGCACTGAGCCAAACCAGCCAGGGCGATCACTATCGTCTTTTTTTTTTAAAAAAATTTATTTTTAATCCTCACCTGACAAGTGAGGATATTTTTTTCATTGATTTCTAGGGAGAGTGGAAGAAAGGAGGGGAGAGAGAGAGAGAGAGAGAGAGAGAAACATGGATGTGAGAGAGACACATCGATTGCTTGTCTCCCACACGTGCCCTGACCAGGACCAGGGATCGAACCTGCAACCCAGGTACACACGTCCTCGGCCGGGAGTTGAACCCGAGACCCTCCGGTGTGCGGACCGGCGCTCTAACCATTGAGCCGCGCCAGCCAGGGCGATCGCTGTAGTCTGTCTTACGCATCTGCCGTGGCTGAGTGCTGAGCCCCAAGGAGACAAGGGCAGAATAGGAGCCTCCGCACATGATTGGTCCAAAGAGGTGACTCGTGCACATGAAAAAGTATTATATTCGTTAAAACCAATCTCTAACGAGCAGGTGATAGGCAAGTTTTGCCACTGACGCCCTCCCAGGCCCTCCTTCCTCTTCTCAGTAAAAGTGTAAGTCAGCATCTTACCGCACACACCATTGCAAGCTGCCCTTTGCCACCCCCCTCCCCCAAAAAACACACCAAACTCATAAAAGTCATCTCCTTGTCTCAAAAAGCCGTCGCTTAGCAAGTTGCTATTGCGCATGGAGCACACACTAAAGATACTAAAAACGGAGGCTCAGAGAGCATTTCAGAGGCACGAGGGCGCCAAACATCGCCGTTTAACAGCACTGACCTTGGTCCCGGACAGACCTGGGCGCCAGGCTCCGCTCTGCCACCTCCTGTGACCTTGAGGAAAATCACTGAGCCAGGCCCGTCTCCCTCGTCTCTCAAGTGGGAAAAGTCACGCGGATTCAGAGTTTACCAGTACCCTGCCTCTGTGTTCTGGCCACGGGGACTCGGGGGCAGAGCCGGGGGCAGAGCCGGGCTGCGGCACCATCCGCTCTCACTCCGGAGTTCGGGATTCAACAGTTGGCAAGGTTACGTAGACGGTTCGTGGCGTAACCGACGACGAGATAAACCCCGGGGTCTCCGCTAGGAAGGTGAGGTCAGATCAGTGAGGTGTTCCACCCGGGGGTCCTGGCCCCCACTGTGCCTGGACCCCAGCAGTTGGGGCAAGGCCTGCAGACGGGCATCTCAGCGTTGGGGGTGATCATCAGTTTGCAGGTTTGTTCGTTTTTTCCCTTTTTTTTCAGTTTATAGGGTTTTGAAGGCAGCATGGTCACAAACACAGTTTGCACTGTCACATGGCGTTCAAAGGCGTTTCCCAAGTTAAAACTGACGGCCACGAGCCGTGTGAGTGAGTCAGGGAGTTGCTATAAACAACTACTGTTACGTTGGGGAACTTGTACGCCGGTGCCATTGCGTCAGAATGCAAAACGAAGGCGAGGCCTGGAATACCACCAGGACGTCAGTAGTCGCTCAGAACCGAAACCCTGGCCAAGCAGGTTCTGCGGTCAGAGCCCCGTAAACTTCCAGAGCGACAGGAGAGCGCTGGCCACAAAACGCAGTGAGCCGCGGGTTCACGAAACGATGCAGCGGCTACAGCAGCGGGTGTGCCACCACGTGGGCCAAGGGCAAGCAGCCTCTCGTGGGGGAGTGAGATTTTTTTGGGTTGTTAGTCCTCAGGGTATATTTTTCCTGTTGATTTTCTTTTTAAATATATTTTTATGGATTTTTTTTTTTTTTTTTACAGAGAGGAAGGGAGAGGGATAGAAAGTTAGAAACATCGATCAGCTGCCTCCTGCACGCCCCCTACTGGGGATGTGCCCGCAACCCAGGTACATGCCCTTGACCGGAATCGAACCCGGGACCCTTCAGTCCGCAGGCCGACTGAACGTCCTCTATCCACGGAGCCAAACCGGTTAGGGCTCCATTGATTTTCTTAGAGTGGAAGAGAGAGAGAGAGAGGGAGAGAACAGAAAACAAAACAGAAACAAACATCCACCCGCCACACTCCCCTGGCTGCCCCTTCGCTCGTAGAGAGAACTCGGCTGGGGAGACCTTTGTTTCTTTCCCCCAACAGTGAGGCATTTTGGCTGGTCGACAGCCATTCAGATAAAATGCACATTAAAAAGTTCTGTACGGTCAGGGCTCTAATGAGCTTGTCACAGACTGTAGCACCGACAACCGGTCATAGATCAGGAACAGAATTGTTCTCACCGGCAAGTGTGTTATTTCGCTGTCACGTTCAAGCTCACCCGTTGTGAGGTGCAGAGAGCAGCAAGTAATTCTTCATAACGGCAGCTGCCCTCCACGTGCTGTCGGTAAATGTAAGCAATTATGGAAGATCCCCTTCCTTGCTCTGAATCTAGCATCAAATGGCTCAGAATTAGCTTCTTAACTTCAGGCAGCTATTTCAGAATGGAGTGAGTAATTTAAATAATTTCAGAAGCGCATTCGTGTCAAAGGGAGATTGCCAATGACTGTTCCATCTTCCAGGGCTGTTCTCACGACTGCAGGCTCCCGTTCCCACAGGGAGAGCCTTTTCCACCCCCCAGTCCTCCCGTCGTGTGGCCAGTGCTGCCGTGTGGGCCCTGGGGCGGCTCAACCACGTGGCCATCGCCGTGCCGGACCTGGAAAAGGCCCGGGCGTTTTACCGGGACGTGCTGGGGGCCCAGGTCAGCGAGGTGTCCCCTCTTCCTGAGCACGGGGTGTCTGTGGTGTTCGTCGACCTCGGGAACACCAAGCTGGAGCTGCTTCACCCGCTGGGAAAGGACAGTCCGATCGCGGGGTTTCTGCAGAAGAACAAGGCCGGAGGCATGCACCACGTCTGCATTGAGGTATCCATTTCCTTGAAGGCTCAGCGTTTGACGTTTCTCTCCCACAAACTGGCTTTTGCTTCTTGGGACTGATACGGTCACTGTCATCAGAAATTTTATATGAAGTTCTTTTTCTTTTCTTTTTTTTTCTAATCACCTGTGGCTATTTTTCCATTGATTTTTAGAGAGAGTGGAAGGGAGGGGGAGAGACAGCGAGAGAGAAACATCAATGTGAGAGCGAGACACACATCGATTGGTTGCCTCCCACACCCACACCCTGACCAGGGCTGGGGATGGAGCCCGCAACCGAGGTGCATGCCCTTGACCGGAATCGAATCTGGAACCCCTCAGTCCTCGGGCTGACGCTCTATCCACTGAGCCAGACTGGCCAGGGCATGAAGTTCTTTAAGGGGGATTGGTAGTAGCATTGGTCCCACTCAAAGATGGATCCGTAGATGTATTTTCTTTTCCTCTAGAAAACTGCAAGTAATAACGTAGTTTATCAAATCTGGACTCAGCAGCTTCTCCAAAAGGCCCTGAGGCCCGGACGGTGTGTCTCGGTCGTTGAGCTTCAGCCTATGAATCCGGAAGTCCCAGTTCGCTTCCCAGTCAGGTACCTGCCCAGGTTGTGGGCTCCATCCCAGTGGGTGGCGTGCAGGAGGCAGCCATTCGATGATCCGCTCCCATCATTGATGTTTCTCTCTCTCTCCCCCTTTGCCTCCCTCCCTCTCTGAAATAAATAAAAACATATTTTTTAAAAAGTCACCGAAGTTGGCCTTGGTTCAGCAGCGAACAGGACAGGGACCGAGCCCCAGTGGGAGGGGCGGCCGGCGCGGGCAGTCTGCCCTGTGATAGGCAGAGGTCACGCGCGTCTCCTCGCTCACAGGCGAGGAGAGGTTGGTTGCTGCGGCCGGCCCAGGAGGTGGGAAGGCACCTGTGACGGGATCCCCCGGGCACGAGAGGAGGCAGCCCTTCTGGGCAGCGGGAGTAGCAGGTGGAAAGGCACAGAGTTATCAGAGCAACTGCCAGCCCCCGGACGCCACCTGCATTGTTTTCTGCATTTCTTATAGCTACCTCAGGAGGGCGCCGTTCTCCCCATCCACAGGCGAGAAGCCGTCTGAGAATAGCTTGCCCATAGTCACATGACTAGTGAGTGGCAAGGCTGCTAACTAGCTGTGTCCAAACTAGATTTGTTCTGAGTCCAGCGTCGGCACTGCTGGGCGGCGCCATCATTGTGTGAGCTGGGGAGCCATAAGGTGTTCGGCAGGGCACTTGCAAGGCCTCCTGGTTCACCGCTCCCTGTCTCAGAAGGTGAATTTTGGCTGCAGGTCTGTATCGCAGTGGACTTGGGGTTTACCTGAGGCCCCCAAGGACGACAAGCAGGATCCCCGCCTTTGAACCCACTGCTCCGTCCCAGAGCGCACTGCCTGGGTCCGACACCAGAGCCCAGGCTTCAAAGGAAGCCGGTGTGAGTGAGGACTGCAGTGAAGCGGGGACAGGGCAAGCTCAGGAGCGTAGCAGTGGATGTGAGAGTCGAGGTCAGCGGGGAGATGAAGACGTGGTTCCGTGTAAAGTGGAGGTGGGCCACGGGAAGTTGTGGAAGGTGGCGGGTTAGTCCTTACGTAAATGTGAGACACCGTCATTGGCCGCTGCTCTCCGTAAAAATCAAGCGTCTTAACCAGTAGACAGGTTTTATTTTTCAGGCCTCAGTCTGAGAGAGAGCGGTCCCAGGCTGATGGGCTTCCTCCAATCAGCTGGTTTAAAAACCTTGATCTTCCTCAGAAGCAGACGGGCTGTCTTGGGACGCCGAGCCCCACGGGTGCCCTTGCCAAAAGCATCGTTTGCTCCAGGGCGACGGCCTTGGAATTGTCACTGAGCACGTATGGTTTGATTACAGTCACTGCCAGTGCTGCCCGCTGAAATATAACACCAGCCGCATAGATCACTTATTTGTTTTAAATATATGCTTACTGATTTCAGAGAAAGGGAGAGGGAGATAGGAACATCGATGATGAGAGATGACAGAATCATCAGTTGGCTGCCTCCTGCACCCACTGGGGACCAAGCCCGCAACCCAGGCATGTGCCCTGACCAGGAAACGAGCCTTAACCTCCCCGTTCCTGGGGCTCGACCACTGAGCCACACCGGCCAGGCCACATAGACCGTTTTAAATCCATGGATGCTGCCACGAGTGCTTCCGGCCTCTGCAGGCCGCCCCCTAGGAGGGGGTCTGGTGTCGACTGGAACTAGCCGTGCTTCCCCTGAACCCCATCCAGGCAGCAAGGGTTTGATGAAAATGGTGAAAATGCTTAGGTGCCGTGGTTGCTCACCCAGGGAGATTTCGCAGCTTCTTTCCCTCTGGAGCAGGAGCCGGTGTGTGTGGTGGTTTCACAAAGGCTCTGCCTCAAGGCAGAGGGGAGAGCCATGGGCGGAGGTCTCTTCCGGTCTCAGGGTCCTGCGGTTCGGTGTTTCCATGGTCTCCGGCGCACTCTTGTTTCTTTCCTTCTCCCCAGGTGGACGACATAAATGCTGCTGTGATGGACTTGAAAGAAAAGAAGATCCGTAGTCTAAGTGCCGAGGCCAAGATAGGGGCCCACGGAAAACCCGTCATCTTCCTGCACCCCAAGGACTGCGGGGGCGTCCTGGTGGAGCTGGAGCAGGCCTGATCGTGTAAGAAGCTGCGATAGTGACCGGGAAGCGCCTTGGGTCCTTGGGCTTTGAATCCTTCACGCCTTCGGTCACTTCAGAGTTAAAACCAAATTACAGAATGAGGTTCAAAAAATCATATATATGTGTGTATATATATACAGTGTGTGTCCCCAAGAATGTATACACCCTTTGAATAATTATGACTTCCAATGGGTTAAAGCTGAAAAGAAAGACACATCAATTGAGCGTCAGCTAAGTGTATCTACATTTTTGGGGGGACACACCTGTGTGTGTGTGTGTGTGTGTGTGTGTGTGTGTGTGTATTGGATTTGGAGAAAATTTTGATCACTGAATGCCTAAGGAATATTATTAAAATCATATTCATAGAAATACATTCTTCCTGTTCTACAATGGGGTCATTTCGGACAGTACACTAGCTGTGTGAAAGGGTGTGTGTGTGTGTGAGAGAGAGAGAGAGAGAGAGAGAGGAGAGAGATGAGGCAGGATGGGGACACGAAGGACGTATGGCCTCAGATGTTTGGCTTTTCTGGAACGACTCATGCTCACAGCCCCTCGGGGCAGGTGTTTGGGGCGCTCAGTCCTGTCCGTACAGTAGGCGGTTTGTGGAGAACTGGGCGTGTGAGCTCTGGGCTGCACAGTTGGCTGCGTTTTAGAGTCGGTGGTCGAGGAGAGGGCGGTGAGTTTGCAGAGGCAGCTGTCATTCAGGTGCAGGGACACAGCAGCCTGAAGGATGTGCCGAAGGATAGAAGCCTTGCTGAGGCGCTCACGGTCCAGGCGGGAAACGGCTTCGTGAAATGGATGTAAATCGCTACAAAGCAGCAGGAACGAGTTGGAAAGGAAGGGAGCAGAGCTCTCAGTGGAAGCTTAGAGGCACAGCCTTTGGCCGGATTTTCTTCTTTTTTTAAAAGAAACTCTTTACTGTTGAAAGTATTTTTTTTAAAATATATTTTATTGATTTTTTACAGAGAGGAAGGAAGAGGGATAGAGAGTTAGAAACATCGATGAGAGAGAAGCATCGATCAGCCGCCTCCTACACACCCTCCCACTGGGGATGTGCCCGCAACCAAGTCCATGCCCTTGACCGGAATCGAACCTGGGACCCTTCAGTCCGCAGGCTGACACTCTGTCCATTGAGCCAAACTGGTCAGGGTTATGGTTGAAAGTATTACAAATGTCCTCCTTACCCACCATTGTCCTCTCCCAGCCTGCCCCTGCCCCCCAGCCCCGGCCTTCACCCCCCCCCGCCGCCCCCTCCCCATTGTCTCTGTCCACTGGTTATGCTTCTCTGCATACAAGTTCTTTGGTTGATGTCTAACCCTCCCAACCGCCTCCCCCACCCGCAACCCCCCCCCGCCCTCCCCTGCCTTAAACTAGTATCAAATGACTTTGCAGAATCTCAGATGGAGGCATAGAATGAGTGCATGGTGTATGGGAAAGTGTTAACATCTTGTAACTCACGGATAATTGGATGCTGAGTAGAGAAGGAGGTATGTACACATTGAGCCTGCTCTTAGGGAAGACAAGTGTAGCATTGAGTTGTTATTTAAAAGTTAAAAGCTGCCAAAACCGGTTTGGCTCAGTGGATAGAGCGTCGGCCTGCGGACTGAAGGGTCCCGGGTTCGATTCCGGTCAAGGGCATGTACCTGGGTTGCGGGCACATCCCCAGTAGGAGATGTGCAGGAGGCAGCTGATCGATGTTTCTCTCCCATCGATGTTTCTGGCTCTCTATCTCTCTCCCTTCCTCTCTGTAAAAAAATCAATAAAATATATTAAAAAAATAAATAAAAAATAAATAAAAGTTAAAAGCAATGCCCTAGCCTGGTCCCGGGTTCGATTCTGGTCAAGGGCACGTACAAGGATCAACCAATGAATGCATAGATATGTGGAACAAAAAATCTCTCTCTCTTCGCCCCTTCCCTCCCTTCCTCTCTCTCTCTCTCTAAAATCAGTTCTTTCGAAAAAGGTGAACTGAGAAGTGTGGCCTTGTATGTCCTCTTTGCTTGGATAACCACGGTCAGCTCGCAGTGACAGAACAGGTTTCTGTGTCTCAAGGTGACCTACGGAGGTGACCCGGGGTTCCCGCAGCCACGGGTGTGAGTGTGTGGGTGGCACCACCCTGCCGGGTTCAGAGCCAGAACAGCTGTGAGCCCTGTGCCCTCAGCCTGGGACGAGTGTTTCCTACGCTTATTGTGTGCAGAACGCTACCTCTCGGCTGTAATTCACATCTTAGCTGTTGAAGAGCCAAACGTATCCTGCACCTTTATACGTGGACAGAACTGGCTTGTGTGAGAGGACGGCTGCCAAACGCGCCTCCTGAGAACTTGCGATAAGGCGCGTCGGGCTGCCCTTGGCCGGGCGCACAGGCGGAGTCCGCAGGGGGTGGGTGGATAAGCCACGAGGTGGTTTCAGGTGCAGGACGAGGCGGACATCCCCCCGCCCCTCAAGGTGATCGGAATAGATTTGAGCTCGGAGGAAAACAGGCGCGGAACGGTCATTTGCTAATGAAAAGTGCAATTGTTTGCAACAAGGCTATGAACATAACACGGCGATTGGGAACCAAGGAAAGGGATGTCTAGGGAGCTGAAGTTGGCAGAACCTGGTCCCCATGCCAGAGTGTCACCCCCCCCCCCCCCCCCCCCCGCCAAGCTATGGTGCTGGCCTGGGGTTGGTTGGTTGCTGTGGCTGAGCATGAAATTAACTCCTGTTGTTGCCATTCCCGTTTCTCCAACATGGAAGGCCCAGCTTATCGTAAGGGCAAGAAGCTAATGGTTCTCATGGCAACAGTGGAAAACACACTTGAACTTCCCCCACAGGCCTGCCTCATCTTTCTTCAAGTTGCACAAGCCAGAGACTGAAGTTGAATTCTGACACGGCCTCGTCTCCAACATTGTGCGTGCACGCGCACGCACACACACACACACACACACACTCAGCCCTCACAAAGGCCTCTTTCTTTAGCCTTGCAAATAGCTCACATCCATCTGCCGCTCCCCACCCCCCTTCGTCTGGGCTCCCTGCACCCACTCTCATCCCCCCAAGCCCTCCCTTGGCAGCCAGAACCCGTGTGTGTGTGTGTGTGTGTGTGTGTGTGTGTGTGTTTAATATGTCATTATCATGTTTTATGACACACCTGTAGTCATGTCAGCGGCTACTGCACACGTCAAAGCATCTCCACCTCACAGAACACGGGAGGGTGACTTCAGTTTAATCAAATGATCACACACAGACCTGGAGCCACATTCCAAGTCCCGAAGGAAAAGGCTGCACTGCGGAGAGCAGCTCCACGGACGGCAGCCGGGAGGCCTTCCTGGGAGCGGACGGGCCGCCAGGCTCGGTGCTGGAGTGGCCGGCACAGAAGCGTCCTGAGAAAGCAGGCGCCCAGCCAGAAAGAGAGCAGCCCTGCCACCAGGAAACAATACCTCCCGTCCCTTCTCTGGGTACCAGGAGGCGGCTTTCCGGTCTCTGCCTCCGGAGAGAAGGGTTCTAGGAATCTTTCCAAGACGGGAGGCGGACCAGGAAGGGAGCCAGGAGCCCACAGTGATGGCGGGAGTGCGGGGATGGGGGAGGGAACCGGTGCAAGGCAGCCCCAGGAGCAGAAGGACCCAGGATGCCCTCCCTGCAGCCCTCCTCACCAGGGCACCTATCGTCTCCTCATCTCTAAGGCGGTGTCAGTGCTGTCCTGTCCCCTGGTGGGAGGTCCGTGGTGCTGCAGAGAGGAGCCTGGGACCGGCCCCCCCACAGTGCTGGGCCAGCAGTTGCACTGTGTGTGTGTTTGGGGGGGGGGGTCAGCCAGCCCGGTCTGGTCAGCTACAGGGCCCGGGCATCACTGGGAAATTCCCAAGTGCCACTGCTCTGCCCAGGAGTGGCCAAGCAGGACCACTGGGTGGGCTGCGAGGAAGACCCCACCTCCCCTGGGGGTGGTCCAGAAGCTGGTGTCAGAGGCCTGTCGCTGTCTGGTTCTGTTTTCTCGAAGAGCATAGAAATGGAGCAGTGTTTTATATTTCTTTTCCTTAATATATATTTTTTATTGATTTCAGAGAGGAAGGGAGAGGGAGAGAGAAATAGAAACATCAACGATGAGAGAGAATCATTGACCAGCTGCCTCCTGCTGGGGATGGAGCCCACAACCCTGGCACGTGCCCCCGACTGGAATCGAACCCGGGACCCTTTAGTCCCCAGGCCCACACTCTATCCACTGAGCCAAACCTGGTAGGGCTGTACCAATGCCTTTTATTGCTTTAAGTCATTCCCCACTTGTGATGAGTTTTTATATGTTTATAAGATTTTTAAATGTAAATAAATGGACCCATTAGCAGATACTCAGATTGCTCAGTCTCGGCACCAGTGACATGTTGGCTGGCCCAGGTCCTTTGTGGGGGGCTGCCCGAGCCTGGTGGGGTGCTCAGCAGCAACCCCGGTCCCTGTCACAAGCATCGGCCCCGCCTGTGACAACCAAAAATGCTTCCAGCTTTGGCCAGGTCATTGCAGATCCGCCTGGGTCAGGCCCCACGTCCTGGCGTGGAAATGAGGGTAACCTGGCATCCACCGAGGGCAGAAGGACCAAAGAGAGGAGAGGCGAACTCGGGCCTAGCGGGGAGGGCATTCAGCTCCCAATCCCGCCCCTGGAAAAGCCATCCGATGGGCCCACGCCATGTTGACAGTCACCACAGGGCCCAGCGCGAGGGTTGCAAAGTGCTCCCTCCATCAACAGCCCCCCGCCCCCCCTTCCACTGTGACATCCTCGGGCCCAGCATGCTCTGTGCCCCTCAGGACCGCGGGTCCAGCCGTGGAGGGCGTCGCTCCAGAGGCCTCCCTGAGCCTCAGCCCCCGC